AAACATGTGAAGGAGGAAGAAATAAGAAGAAGAATGAACTGGAAGGAGTTGAGGGGAGGCGTGGAAAACTTTTCCCCTCGGCCTGTCAGTCAGAAATTTCCAGTTTCTCTTTTGGCAGTTCTCCCATGTAGATTTAAGATTTTTAAGAAAACTTAATTTCTCTGTTCCAGCGAACCGATTGCTCTGAACCGAAGAGGGTGGACCCCACTCTGAGAAGTCAGTCAGACTCTGATGCGATGGCTGAGCACTAATGGCACACTTTCCAGAGCAACGGGGCCTTCTTGGTGCCAACAACCTCAGTGCCTTTAGGGAAACTCTGTCACTGTTAGTAACACAGCCTGCCTCGCTGCTCTCAGGTGACTTCCCGCCATCTCAAATGAAGCCAAGCCCAACCTATTTAACATTCCCTTTCTTTTTTAGTTCTCAGATAAAGTCTACTGTCCCACACATCTGCCTTTTCTTGGAGTAAAACTCCCCAAAAGGGTGATCAGTAGCTGCTGTCTCTACTTCTCACTTCTCATTTCCTCCTCACCCCACTCTCGTCAGGCTTCGGTCCCACACTCCCCTGCTGTCATCAAGCCAGCTGTGGCCTCCTGTCCCCAGAATCACCATTCACTCTCCAGTCCTCACACCCCTCTCCTTCATGACGCCACACTTTTCCGGCTCTCCCTGACTTCACAGACACCACCTCCTCAGATTCCTTGGCTGGCTCCCACTCTGCTTCCCTTTTCCTCTCCAACTGTTTTCTCATCCTAGCTGGGTCTCCAGTCTGTCCCTGTCATCAGAAGTGGGGCCCTAGATGATAGATCATAAAGGACATTGCTGTTTCCGTCTTGTTCTCCCTTGGATTGCCCGCTCTGGGGGAAGTTAGCTGATCTAACATGAAGATACTCAAGTAGCCCTACAGAGAAGCAGACATGACAAGGACCTGAGCCTCATTGCCAACAGCCACGTGGGGGAACCATCTTGGAAGTGCGTTGCCATCCTCAATCAAGCCTTCAGATGACTGCAGTCCCTGCTGATGGCTTGACATACAACCTCATGAATCATCCTGACCCAGAACCACCTTCTTAAGTTGCTCCCAGGCTCCTGACGCTCAGAAAGTGTGCTAGAGAGTAAATGTTTGTTGCTTTAAGTCACTAAGCACTAAGGTAGGCATGATACATCCATGCCTACCTCTCTGACCTCATCTTCCAGTACTTTCTCACCATGCTCCCACAGCATCTGCCTGCCTACTGTGCCTGAAACAACACCAAAGTTGTTCTTGACCGAGACCCTCGTCCTCACTGGTACCTCTGGTTAGCATCCTGTTGCCTTGGGAATTCTCATGCCTAGCTTCTTCCTGTCATTTAGGCTTAGTCTTCTATGACCACTCTAAGTTAACCGCTTCCCCATTGCCATCCTAAAAACTCTCCAACACCTTCCTCTGTTTTATTTTCCTCCTAGCACTCATCACTAATCATAATAATTTTTTCATTGATTTATTTACTCATTGTCTGAGCAGGAAATTGCTCTTATATGTACCATGGCATCCTCTGTGCCTAGAAAAATTCAGGGAACAAAGTAGGTGCTCAGTAAACATTTACTAAATGAGACAAAGAAGAAAACTATTTAAATATTAGAACCATAATCCTTAAGAAGTTTTCTGAGGTCAGAGTCTAAATTTTTTTTTTCCACTATGTATCCTTGGCTGGCCTGTTGACTTAGAATGTCACAATTATGTTGACAGCTCCAAAGGACAAATAATTTCCAACATAGCTGGTGAGTGCAGAGAGGAGGTAAGAAAAGATTTTGAGAGAAAGGGAGGAGGCAAAGTGGATCAATGAAAACATAGATGAAAGTTGTGCTGACTCATGGGTGCCTCCTCCAACCAGCTCTGGTTGGCAAAATGATTCTAATAGATACTTGTTCTTCAAGCAGATTTTGGAAAATTGGCAAGTTACCATGTATAATAACTCAAATCTTGACCCAGTTCCCCCAATACAGAGAAATTAATATCTATTTTCATTTCAATTATATCTGTATGATCTCTCCATGGAAATGGTGGGTGGTATAAGGGTCAAATACCAGATGTAAATTATTTTGTAACAAACATCTTTATCCCTTTATGTCACAGATTACCCAGGAGTGATATTTAAAATACTTGACATCTGTATAGGAAATATAAATTAGTATATATCAGTATATATACCGAAAATTAATAATATTGCTTTTTATTTTCCAACTAAACTATGTACGGCATAAACATTGATAAAGCTACAGTGCAAGCCAGTCAGAAATCATTGTGATAGTTTCCAGTCATTTGTGATTTGTACTAATCGTGTGTTCTGGGCAGTTTGGGCCGGCAGCGAGTGCAGTCTGCTCTGTCCGGGTGGCCCTTTCCTGTACCCATGAGTCTCGGCACATTCCTAGGTCCTTCTACTGCTTTCTGCCCTTGTCCCATTGAGAATAGGGGAGGTGGAGGCCTTCCATCGTGGCTAGCCCCAAGTGCATCACCATCCCTTGAGGTATCTTAACGCTCCTCCAGCTTTGTTGATAGGCATTTCACTAACCTCTCCTCAGCCAACCTTTTTGAGATGAGGTGGTATCCTATTCTTCAGGTACTCAGACTACCAGCCATAATGAGGTAAATCTTAGTTCACTTCAAGATCATTATAAAGGGAGTGCTTGGGTGGCTCAGTTGGTTAAACGTCTGCCTTCTGCTTGGGTCATGATCCCAGAGTCCTGGGATTGACCCCACATCAGGCTCCCTGCTCAGCGGGGAGTCTGTTTCTCCCTCTCCCTCTGACCCTTCCCCCTGCTTGTTCTCTCTCTCTCAAATAAATAAATAATTTTTTAAAAAGATCATTAAAAGGGATTATAAAATATGTTATAAATTGGGGAAGGCTAGATGTGATGAGGCTGAGAACCTCTGTTCTGGAGCAAAGGTGTAAAAATATATTGTTAGAAGGATAGATAACAAAGGCCCCTCCTCCTCATAAACACCTTGAGGAGTCCAGAGCTGGACAGAGAACAGGTAAATGCAAAGAGAAATGGGAGCCTCCTGGGAGGACAACTTGGCACATCTTGCTTGGGCTGAATTGACTAAACACTGAGTAGACATAAAGGACACAGGCCATGTGCCCCGTGTATGTGTCTGCCCCACCCTATGCCAGTGTGGGGAAGTTCACACTATAAAAATGGGCAGTCAGGGCTAGGGCCCTGGGCTCAGCCCCCTAGATCCTACATTTCTTGTGGGGGGGGACACCACTCATCATCCCGGCCTCTCCTGCAGAGCAACATGCCAGGGGGAAAAGGACTCCATCTCTTCATGTACAGTTTGAGATCCCAGGCCTGGGTGACAGCAGGGAGGGAGACCTCCACTTCCTTCTCTCAGAAGCTGCAGAGCAAGAGGATGCTGCTGCCCAGGTGGATGAATGGTAGCCAGGGTTTCAACCAAAGTGTCTCAGATCAAGCAGTGTGTGGGACACAGGAACTCCATGTGGTAGAAATGGCAGCAAAGAACAGGTACTGCAACAGAGGGCTTCTGGGATTTTTGGTCAGTGTCAAGTCTACTTGACTCCTTGAATGGAGTAAACCCCTCGGTTGTTGGGTTTACCATTGCAAAAAAGACAGCTGGGGAGAAGAATGTTCTTGCTCTTCAAAGATGGATGCTTGAGTGACTTAAAATGAATACTTAAAAGATGTGATTTTATTATATGCACATCAGGCTGGGAAAGCAGGCTATATGGCTGCACTTCAGCAGCACCCTATTTTCCTTGGAACAAAATCCAAACTGCCCCCTCATGACAGACCACGAAGGATTCAGAGATTCAAGCCAAGGTGTCCTGATTGGATTGAAGCTCAGCATGATCTCATGCCCTAGTGTGAGGTTATAGAGTAAATGGTGTCCCCCAGAAAGGACAGGTTGTAGTCTTAACCCTGGGTACCTGTGAATGTGACCTTATCTAGAAATAGGGTCTTTGCAGTTGTAGACACATTAAGATGAGGTCATACTGGGTTAGGGTGGGCCCAGATTTGATTACTGGTGTTCCTAGAAAATGAGGGAAATTTGGACCCACACACACACACACACATGTGTAAACAGAGGCAGAGATTGGAGTTAGGCATCTACAAGCCAAGAAATGCCAAGCACTGCCAGCAACCATAAGAAGCTAAGACGAGCCAAGGAAGGATCCTTCCCTTCCACCTTCAGAAAAAGCATGGCCCTGCTCATACCTTCATTTCACACAAAGAGCCTCCAGAACTGTGAGGGAATACATTTTATGGGTTGTTTTTTTTTTTTTTTTAAGATTTTATTTATTTATTTGAGAGAGAGAGATTGAGAGATAGAGAGCACGAGAGGGAAGAGGGTCAAGACTCCCCGCCGAGCAGGGACCCCGATGCGGGACTCGATCCCGGGACTCCAGGATCATGACCTGAGCCGAAGGCAGTCGCTTAACCAACTGAGCCACCCAGGCGCCCCATTTTATGGTTTTTACCTACCAAATTTGTGGTCATTTGTTATAGTAGCCCTAGAGCATGATATACAAGGTATACATGATTTGGGATTAGAATTACCTGGGGTTTTTTGTTGTTGTTTTTATCACTACAGTAACCCCTCATAGGGCAAAGACTGTTTCTGGCTTATTTATCATTATTAACCCACCTCCTGGAATATGGAATGTTCTATATTCCACATAAAAGAAATATAAGTTCCTTAAGTGAACAGGAAAAAAAAAAGATTACCTGAAGGAAAATGGTTCTGTATCAAAAAAGAAAGAAAGAAAGAAAGAAAAAGAAAGAAAGAAAGAAAAGAAAGAAAGAAAGAAAAGAAAAGAAAGAAAGAAAGAAAGAAAGAAAGAAAGAAAGAAAGAAAGAAAGAAAGAAAGAAAAAGAAAGAAAGAAGAAAGAATCTTTTAGGTTGCGGATCAGAAATACAGCAAACTACAAAAGAAAAAGACTATTTTTGTGTTTTTTTAATGTAACATGAAAATTTCTACTTCACTCTTTTTGACAAGGTACATGATAGTATAATGACAATTTTTTAATAGATCAAAGAAAGAATCCATGACATTTTTCTCCCTTTATTTTTAAGGCCAAGAGACATCCTAGGAGGTGATCATGATTTCATATTTGATCAAAACAAAATAAACTGCTTTACAACTAAATCTGCATAATTCCTAATGAAATTAGCACTTAAACTTTTCAAAAGTTTCCTAGCCACACGATAGCCAGTATTTACATTTAGGTAACACACTTCATTGCTGGAAAACCTCAGCAGATTGGTTCCACGTGTGCTGGGCATCCATTCCTGCTTCATTTAATCCTGAAAATCTTCTTGGCTTGTTCTAAACTTTTCTCATCGATGGGAGGCTTCCTCGGGCTGCCAGGCTGTAGAAACTTCTTCACGGTGGGGAGATTGCTGATTCTGGTTTTCAGGGCCTACAGTGCACAAGGGCACAGCCTCAGAATGGAGCCAAAGACCAACCCCATCATTAGCACAAGCCAGGGAATCAGAGACTGTCCTGCAAGGACCAACTGAGTCCCCTCCAACAGCACAGTGTGTGGCTGGGAAAAGACACCCAGGCAGACATGAGGGTTGGAGGAAGAAAAGACAGCTCAATGCCATTTGCCCCCAAGACATCTTTTTTTCAGACTCATTTTGGTTTCAGGTCTTCCCTATCTCCTTCCCTACGCATAAATCCTGTAGATTCATCCCTCTTGTGCGAACCAGGGAAGGAGGAATGTGTCTGTCAGATATCAACACACATAAAGTCTCCAGACAGATGAAAATATAGGAAACCTGCCCTGGAACGGAAGACAGAAAATATAGAAAGGTAAACCATGAGACTGGTCAAAACCAGCCAGCCCACTGAGAGAAGGACAGGGAGAGAGGGAGACTCTGCCCAGAGAAACGTTAGGAGCCGGAGTGGAGGGAAGGAAGCGGGAGGAAGGAGAGCTGCTCAGGCAGGCACACGAAGGACACACCTGGATAAGGGAAACCCCAGAGAAAACAAGCACAGAGACCATCATGGAATGGGGATGGGGATGGGGAGGCTGATGCTGAGCCCTGGGTCCTTCTCCTGGTGAAGACAATCTAGTCTTCCTGGGGAAGCATCCACCTCAAATGTCCTTGGCATGACAAGATTCTGTGCCTCAACCAGCCCCTAGGGGCTAACTCTGGAGGGAGTTGTGGGGCTGAGAAGGGACAATGATGGAACCAGAGTCCAAACGTCAGATCCTGAGGTGGGAGATGTGAGCCTTCCCTCCTGAAAGCTGTGAGAGAGATCACCTTCAGCAGAGGGAAGTTGGCCAGAAGGCTGGGGTCAAGCTCTTCCACATAGTAGAGAAGTTCCACCAGGTGAATGTCAGCCCTGCTCAGCGTGTTGCCAACAAGGTAGTCTTGTCCATGGCTCTTTAACACCTGGGGGATTTGAGGAATCACATCATGAGCTCAGGCACAGTCAGGCTGGGCCCCTCTGCTCCTCTCTGCTCTCCAGCCCGACCTCCCCACCTCTGCTGCCTCACTGAGGGGGTGTGGGCTTCAGACCCTCTGCATTGCCCCTGACTCACTGAGACACCGGGTCTCTGCTGTTCTTTCCCTCAGCTGAAGTCCTGGCTAATGTCTCCCTAAAACATGTGTTCACTGTATATCTCTTCTGACGTAGGCAAGTTTTCCTAATGAAGTGTTGGGGAAATTCATGAAATTTATTAAAGCATTCCAATAATATGCAAATGAGAACACGAAGAGAAAACCCCATGGCACCACCAACTTCAGGAAATTTTGGCAAATACCCTTTCCGCCCATGTACACATAAGGAAACACGGACAATTATCAGGCAAAGAATATAATGAAACTTCAAATGCTATATGGTAACATACAGTTTTCATTTATCTTATCATAGGGCTCTGTGATTTCAAAGTATGGCTGTGCTCAAATGGAAAGACTGTTCAGCACTTCATCATCTGACTGTGCCCCAAACTCTCAGCACCACAGGGTCAGGAGAGAATTTCCTGACTACTATGAATTCTTTCCTCCTTGAAAAGGGCCAACACGCAAGCAATGACTTAACATTTGTTCAGTGACTGACAGAATGATCTAATGCCTTATAAAGATGGGTGTGTCCGTGTTAACCCTTTCAATTCCATGTATGGCCCCCTGTTATCTCCTACAATCAGTTTTTGGCCCATAGTTTTTATTGGGCACAATTTCAGGTACTTTTGATCCTGAAATGTTCTCCTCTTACCTCCCAGGAGAAACATTAACTAACATACATACTATGTATAGTGATGGAACCTTATTTCCTTAGTTTGCATGACTTTCCTCTCAAGTCTGAGAACCATGTCTTCAAGTATGTCCACTGATTTTTCCTTAACATCCCTCCATCGGTCTGTTCCTCTCCGTCCCCCTGCCCCCATCTCTGTCCAGATACATCTCATCCATCCATCCCCAAAACACTACCATATTTTCCTGAAGGGCAACTGGCCTCACGTCACCCTACCCATGTTGCCAGTGTCTCTCCTGACCCATTGCTGTCATTGCATTCCTCTTGGATCAAAGCCCCTGCACGGTGCTCTGTAAGATCTATTCCAACCTCCAGTGTGGCTCTCAGAGTCCTCAACCGCCCAAGCTCTGACTATGACCGGGGAGGTCTGCTGAATAGAGAATTCTAGCTTGGGTCCTGGTTAGTTGAAAACTAACCTTTCCTGCTGGAAAACTGAAATTTGGGTATAACTGGTACAATTCTTCCTCACCATCCGTTTTTATAAAATGCCTTGAGTCAGGGTGCTACTGGAAGTGAAGGTCAATGCCCAAGGAATGCCAGTCAGGCACTATCTTTCCTTGCTTCTAAGTCCAGTGCCCCAAAGCGCTCACCAGTCCACTTACTTTCTCAAACGCGGGGAGATAACGATCTGTCGTTCTCTCTTTGATCAGGGCAATCTTGGCCTCTTTTTGATCAGGTGGGCATAGAGGCAAAACAATGATCATTTCATTCAAATCTGCCATACCTTCTGTGTACATATCTATCCTGAAAGACAAAGTGACCAAGTTGTCAAATGTCTTCTGCCTTGATTTTAGAGTTGAAAAAACAGACAAGAATGGGCATCAGAAGGTGGCAAAGTAGCTCAGCTCCCACCGGATGCTTTTTTATATGCCACCCATTCAGCTCAGATTTTTACTTGATTTGAACATTTCATTCTAGAACAAGCCATCAACATATGTCTAGCTATTATGTGTAAAATTTTCATTATACACACGACCAGAGAGAGGGACAGAGAGCATTGGTGACCTGTCCAGAGTCACAGAGAAATTGGCGCAATCCTGCATGTACCCACCTACAGGGACCGTACTTGGGGCCTTGCCATATCTGTTGTGATTTGTTCTCTGCACAAGGTAATGTGACTCATGTGGCCAAGCCCTGCCACCGAAGTGATCTCTAGAGAACGTCCCTGGCACAGCCATCTCCGGCATGTCTCTTCCTGTCTCATCCTGTTACACACCCAGGCCCACTGACGTGCCCAATATCAGCAGGCTTTCCAATTATTTCCCACAACCCTGTCCACATACAGTTGCCCAACTCTGACCTTGTTTGCATTTCTCAAGTCTTCACCTAAAATAACCCCCAAAAGGGTGAAATTCTTTGTACATTCCAACCAGTACATATTCTAGGAGATTTGGTTTTATTGTTCCAAACTGGGCTTCCTCTAAGAGTTTTTTCAAATAAAATCTTTATTTTCACATAATTCACATACCATAATGTATACACTTCTCAAGTGTAACAAGTTTGTGATTCTTACAGTAGAGACAAACAATACCGTACCATCACCACTCTAATTACAGAATATATTCATATTCCCAAAAGAAATGCTGTATGCTTTTATACCCATTCCAATTTCTTCCCTCCTCCAGCCCCTGGCAACCACTAAGCTACTTTCTGTTTCTGTAGATTTAAGTGTTCTGGATATTTCATACAAATAGAATCATACAATATGTGCCTTTGTGTCTGGTGTATGTAACATGATGTTTGTAAGGTTTACCCATGTTGTACCATGCATCACTACTTCATTCTTTCATGGCCAAATAATATTCCATTGATGGATAGGCCAATCTTCCAGCCACTGATCAGTTGATGCACATTTGTAGCATTTCCACTGTTTGAACAGTAAGAACAACACTGCGTATAAACGTTTGTGTACAAGTTCTAGTGTGGATGGATTTTCAATTTTCTTATGTGTACACCTAGTAATGGAGTTGCCGGTATACAGTAAATCTATGTTTAACTTTTTGAGTAACTGGTAGCAGAGCCTTCTGAGATTTAAGTATCAATCATGTGGTCCTATCACAACAGAGAAGAGAACCCACAGATATGGTTGTGTTGACTAAAATTTGGCTGCTTTAGTCCTGTATCAAAATGCTCAAGATAACCTTGGCATCTTGAGGACCAGGCTCTGCTTACCCTTGTCAAGGGGCCAGTCCATATAACAGGCTGGTAAGTGAAGTTCTTGGTCAGCATTCTTGTAGTTTCTGAGCCTTTAGAATCAGCTCCTTCGGATCCTTCTGTTCCCCCATCTTTTTTTTTTTTTTTTCTATTATAAAAGTTTATTTAACAAAAAAGTTCAATATGAAAATGCACACGACCTGATTTTTATATTGTAGTAAAACAGGTACTATGGAGGGGACATGTGGAAGCAGTTGATTTCTTCTGATGAACACACCCATTGTTTATACTCGCTCCAAGGCTTCTAACATGATGATACTATTTCCTCGTATTACCACCATTCCGATATTGTTCTGTTGCCCACTAGTTGCCATCTCCACACATTCATCTATCACAAGATTCATAAACGGATCGAACCCCCGCAATATTCCTTGGACATGTCTGCCACCATTTAATTTCAATGACAATTTCTTGTCCATAAATTTTTTCACCTCGGGAGGCTGAGCTCATGGTGTCTACTGCGCGAGCTCAAAGATGCCCCTCTGTTCCCCCATCTTATCTGCTAGATACTCAGACATGTTGTCCTTTGTCTCTAGCTGGTATCCAGCTCCTAAAGGCCTGAGTACCTGGAGTGATGAGCCGACCATCTTTCTGGCTTCGTAGTTCATCAACATCAGGGAAACCCTCTCACCATATGTGCTCTATCCATGGACTGCTTCCTTTTCTGTAACCCCACTTGGTGAATCCACTCCAAGTAGAATCCCTCATCTTCACAGATCTCTATGGTGTCAAACCTCAGTCTATACCACCAAGTCCTGTGCTGCTGCTGGCCATAATCTCCCTGAGACAGTCCTGCTCACCCAAGGAAGAACCCAAATTTTCCCATCAATTGTTCATGAAAGAACAGAAAAAAATACCGTACAGGGCTCTCTCCTTTATGTCTTTCCCATAGAGGTTGTATTTGGTGGCAATGTAGTTGAGAATGGCTCTGGTCTGCACCAGCTTCATTCCATCCATTTCCACCAAAGGCACTTGCTGGAACATCAGACATCCATCTTTTGAAAGAAGAAAAGAAGAAGCAGAGTGAAATGTTTAATTGGATCATCCTCTTTTAGCATGAAAAAACATGTGTTCCCATGACCTGAGACATAAAAGGAAACAAAAAATTATTGCCTGGTCACATTTCATCAAAACAGCATTTTGTTTTTAGCTTTCCCCTAATCCTCTTTGTTCTCAGTCTACCTCTTACTTTTCACCTATTATTTCATTTTTTTTCTTTCCCATGCAGATACATGGTAGGTTCCTGTACGTTTTGCAGTTGATTTACTTTCATGGATGTGTTAGGAAATCTTGAGAGAAGCTGCAACAGAGATGCCAGCACCTGTATTTCAAATGAGAAGTCTCTTGGAGCTTATGCCGTTAAGGCCAATTCTAAAAGAGATTTCTTTGTAGGGTGTTTTATGTGCTCTTTCAATTCTACCACTGGACGGTGTGTGCAGGGCAGGCCCTGCTTTCCTGAGTCCGCTGATGCTTGTATGTTGGATCTTGTTCTTCATCTCCCTCTTCATACTGTCACCTGGCCTTTCAACTAATGCAATACCATCTCATTCTCTGAGTCTATAATATTGCTAGGTATGATCTTGTCAACCCCACCAGAGAAAAGAACTCACAGCAACTGCTGAACTATTTCTACTTTTGCGCTCTACTGCATGTGTTTGAGGGTCCTTGGATGGGCAGGCTGTGTGGGAGGCTGAGCTGACCAAGCTCACTCGGGGTGCAGAAAAGCTGGAGAGAGCAAAGAGAGGGCATTTGCAGGACAAGTGGCATGATTCCTTTAGCAAATACTCAGAGTTCAAGCCCTTCCTAGCCCTGAATGAGATGGAAGACAGGCCCAAGGAGCCCCATCCCTTACACTGGAGCCACTTTTCTTCCTTTCCACCAGCCCCAACTCCCACCACACTCACACATAGGTGTTAAAACCTCAACTTATGACTTCTACCCAATAGTCTCATCCCAGGAATTAGATACTTGGTCTTACCATTCTTTAATTTATCCCAGTCCTCTGGAGTTTCTATAAATTTCTCTTCGAACTGGAAAGCAGAAACTGAATTAGCATACCTACAATATCAACAATGCTTCTTTAAAATCATCTAAGATCAAGGTCCATGTTTCTAATTGTTGCACACATGTCATAAATGATATCTTGTAGTTCACTTAAATCCAAATCCAAATAAAGCCTACACACTGTGCTTAGTTTCCTTAAGTTATTTTAATTGTTTATGTTCTTTGATGAGAAGAAATTTTAATAATATATTAGGTCAAATCTGTTCATCTCTCTCTTTTTTTAAAAGATTTTATTTATTTGAGAGAGAGAAAGCATGAGCAAGGGGAGGGGCAGAGGGAGAGGGAGAAGCCAACTCCACGCTGAGCAGGGAGCCCGACTCAGGACTCCATCCCAGGACCTGAGACCATGACCTGAGCTGAAGGCAGACCCTTAACTGACTGAGCCACCCAGGTGCCCCAAATCTGTTCATCTCTTTAATAGCTAACTTTTTTTTTTCAGAAAGAGAGCGCAAGCGTGGGGGGGCGGGGCAGGCAGAGGGAGAGGGAGAGAGAATCCCAAGCAGACTCCACGTCCAGTGCAGAGCCCAGTGTGGGACTTAGTCTCATGACCCTGAGATCATGACCTGAGCCGAAATCAAGAGTCGGAGACTTAAGCAACTGAGCCACCCAGGTGCCCCAGCTGACAAATTTTTTAATGCAAAACTCTTGACAGGTCATTTAGTAAGAAAATTCTCTTAGCTTATGTGAGAAAAGTACTTTGATAGAGTCAATTTTAGATCCAACTTAAGATGATGGGACTCAGGTCAAACCTCTACTCCTGCTGCGGCCAAGAGCCACCGGATGGACTCCATTCGGCCTCGTCCATTGAAGTAGTGAAGCTTGGGCTTTCCCGCCATGGTAGTCTCTGAATTTCTCTAAACATGATGAAAGAACAAACAAATGAATGGATTAACAAATGAACAATACCACAGAAGCAAAAATGTACTTTTTGATGTATGGTCAAATAGCACCAACAATGCGGAAGGAGTATCTGCCTTCCTCATGGCAAAGTTGGAAGAGTCCCTAGAATGTCTTCCATGGCCCAAATTCTCATCCATCAGTAGCTAACCCTGGAAAATTGTTCCAAACCATGCTCATATCTCCACTGGGTAGAATCTGATTGTCTCGGAAGGCTAATAGGAGAGAGTGTACGGTAAGGATGTAAGTCTGGGCGTTAGGGGGAGGGGGAAGGATTAGAGAATTGATATTTATTGAAAAATCTCCTAATGATCATGACCCAGTGTTAGTCCCTTTGGATACATTATACCTTTAATCTTCATAACAGCCCCAAGAACTGGTTGTTATCATACCCATATCAGTTAATGAGAATAAGGCTCAGAGGTGAAAAGATGTGTCTATAGTCATTCTCTCGTTAGTGATGGACATGGAAATCCACACCTAGGATGAAAAAGAGAGGATAGGGCCGGAACCCACACAAGTGCTGGCCCTAGGAGCCTGTGAGGGGCACTGAAACCAGGGGACTCCACTGACAAGAAGGGGAGGAGAGGCAGAGTCAGTCTTCCATTCCTTGGCTGTTATGCTGCTTTTGTTTAAAGCAAAATTAGGGCTGATACTCACTTACCTATAGCTCAAAAGACCCTAGTTCTGTCCGTAGACACAGGATGCTAATTCCCTTCCTTTTTTTTTTGGAATTCTGCATTCTACCTTTACTTGGTGGCATTTTATAATCTGGAAAAGGGGACGTTACTGTATTAACTTTACAGTAAATGGAACAGAACTAACATTTCTTCAGTGTGTGTATGGGCATGTGCATGAGTGCACACTCATTTGATCTGTATAATGGTAAGGGATACTTTGGTTCTGCCTGGTCAGTGAAGCTTGAAAGCCCTTGGTTCATCCCAGCCTGCATGAGAAGTGAACATAGCAGGGAGCCAGACAATGAAACCCAATGGCTCAAACAATGAATGCTCTATCATAGATGTGAATGGAAACACACAGGGCTCATTAAAACCAGGAGTCTCAAAGCCAGGTCTTGAAAAGGAACAGGTGCATATTCTGTGCAAATCCCAGGCTCTGTTTACAAAACATTAAGATTCTCTTGCAAAATTTTGTTTTGGAGTTTGGGACAAAAAGATACCTCTCTTTACCCAATGTGATGTGGGAAACGAAGGCAGAAGGAAATGTAGATAAAATTAAATGTCCTTGCAGCCCACTGACAAATACTTGAGATAGGCAGAGTTGTAACATTCCTCCAGGAAACTCCCAAATGTCTTAACGATAATGCTTTGCTAGAGGGAAAAACAACCTTAGCTTGACAATAGCAAGGCCACCGGTACCCAGTGTCTTCTTTAGCATCTGAAGATCCTTTTGGAACATCCCTTATCTTTACTTCCCCCACCCCCAAAGTATATCATCAGTTGCTCCTCACAATCCTGAGGCAGCAGCTCTTCCTGCCCACGGGTCCGGTCCCTGTTCTTTAATTAAACCCACCTTTTTTTGCACTGAACAAGTCTCAAGAATTTGTTCTTGGTCATCGGCTCCAGACCCCAACAACAGTACTCCAAAAAACTACCTCAAATGGATGTATCTCTGAAAAAGTGTGTGTGACTTGAATTTTAGATATCAAAATGTTTTCAATGTCCACATTTTTCATGTGGCACTCAATAGTTCTAACCTTTAGAAAGTAAAGAACTGTTGGGGAGCCTGGGTGGCTCAGTCAGTTAAGCCTCTGCCTTCGGCTCAGGTCATGATCCCAGGGTCCTCCTCAGTGGGAGGTCTGTTCCTTCCTCCCTCTCTGTCCCCGCCCCCAAAACAAATTAAAAAAATCTTTAAAAAAAAAAGTAAGTAAAGAACTGTTTGGAAATGTACTTATCAAGTCATTTGTCTTGTAATTGGAGATTTTGTTTATTGTACTTTATCGTGGGGAATGGAGGTGCTGTGACTCAGCAGAATGAAAAGGAGAATGCAGCTTGTACCGAGTGTGTTTTGAACTACAGACCACAGAGTTGTGATAAAAGGCCTCACACTGCCTTACCCATTGACTGAGGGTCAGGATACAAAAGTAAACGATGTTTACCTTACATAATATTTGATCATAAGGCTCCCCAGTTAAGCAACTTTGTTCCCCTTCTGAACAGGAGGGCTGATCAAGACTAGGTCAAAGGTCGTCACAGAACTTTGCCTGATCAGCAGAAAATGAGAACCGGGGAGACTCAATGATTGGCCATAGAGGCACACACCTATGTTCCTGATTGGCACTCCATATCTGGTGAGCATGACCACCCCCCAGGACAATCCCAGGAAACAGCTTCTAATATCCTCTTTTAAAGATGAGCAAATTCAAGTACAAAGAGACAAAGCAGCTTTCCTCCACTCATAAGTTGTGTGAGTGTTGGCTTAGTCGGAACTCATCTGATTTCAGGTCCTGGGCTTTTAAAACCATGTAACACTTTGACAGCTTCTATGCTTCTCTCTGAGACCCTTGTTAATTTGTTCCCATTCAGAGCCCATTAGCCAACTCCTGGCTGAAGGAGGCAGAGGGGGAAACATGGAATTCACAAGCTTCTTTTTTGTTAGCTGATTTACAGGGCTTGATAAGAATATTAATACAAGTACACCTTGCTTTGCTTTTACTTTAATAAAAAAGTAGGCTCATATTCCTCGAAAGGAGAATATCCTATGATAATTCCAGTAGTAAATGAAAGGAGTTATGGCTCTGGATGTGGTTCTAATCACAGTGTGTGGGTCAGAGAGAGAGAAGGAAGCTTTGGAGACAAATGCCAACCCCTCTGCTTCTGAGTACATAAACTCAGCCAGGTTGTTAAATCTCTGCCCATCAATTTTCTCTTCTAAAAACAGAGATAGTTACATTTACTCTTGAGGGCTGTTGGGAAAGTTAAGTGAGATCATGGACCTAAAACTCATAATAGGGATCAGTAAATGCAAGTCCCCTCCTGCTCCCTGTTCCTGGGCGAAGGTTGGTCTCTGGGCATGTTGGGTAGCACACATCTTTCTTCTGTCTGTCTATCTCATCTCTCTGCCTATTTATCCATCACCTTGTGTGTATCTATCTACCTCTTGACCCATAGAGCTCCAGTAGGAATCAGATGTTACATACATCCAGATGTTGTTTCAGAGTCATACAATTAATTTATCTCGTTTGTGTGGAAAGACCAGTGATACTGACTGTGTGCTAACCTGAATTGCAGGACCTTTGATGAATATTCAGGGAGGTCGGGCACATCACTAAACACAGCCTTTTGTAGCCTCAAGACATCAGCAGATTTCTGGTTCAGCCCTTGCCCCATGCACCCCGCAGCGTCTCTCACCTCTGGCCCACCTCCCCATGCCCCCCGCTCCCTGATCCAGACACTCTGGAGTCTTTCCTGTCCCCAGGCTCCTCCGCGTGGGTTCCAGCCCCATGAGTGGGATTGCTGGTCACCACACTAGTGCGGGGTCTTGCTGTCAACACTTGACAAAAATGATCACTTCTCTCCAACATCCTGTTCCTTACCTGGTAACACATTTCACTGAACCTTCTCCAACACTTTGTTTCTGGCTGACGTGTCATGTATTTCCTGCTTTCAAAAAGTTTCCTTCCAGCTTTCTCGACTAGCATCCTTGAGCACTCTCCCGTACTAAGAAACCATGGCTGCACAGGAACAAGGTAGGAGCCTGATTTGGTTCCTGCCCGAGAGGGTTTGGAGACAACAGACAGCACACAGAGGGCCCAGTGGCGACTCTGGTTTCATTGGTTCCAATGAAATCATGATTCATGATTCTCATGGCCAAGCAGGTCACAGCAAGGTGAAGGCTGCGGGCTGTAAGCCGAGGATGCTGTGCCTTCTGTCCAGGCCGGCTCCTGCCTCCCGCGGCAGCATGACATCCTCACGCTCCGTGCCTCTTCCACCCCCACCTGTCTGCCTCCCTGCCCTTCCGATTCGGATCACGCCACATCCCTGTCAACCTTGCTCTCTCTAGCATCTTGCAGAGTGTTTTTCCTCATTGCCATCTCAGTATCTTCTGCCATAGGTACTGTATTTTTCCCCGTGGATTCTGGATTGTTACAGTGATGTCACTGACCCTCTCGTCTCACCTGTACAAAACTTGTCTTTCCCCACGGGTATTAACACTTCCGGCAGCACGTTGTTGACTCTTCCAGTCTGATTCCAATGACTCGTGCATTCTAGCTAGGTGAATTTCTGTGCCTTTTCAAAATGAATGATATGCTCTGCCGATCACATAGTTTTCTTATCCAGACTTCCTGGGTTTGGGAGTTTGGGAAGTCCTGTAAGCCAGTGATTCTTAAATGGGGGTGATTTTGCTCGCCTGCACCCTGAAGGCCATCTGGCAATGTCGGGAGGCATTGCTGGATGTCAAAACCAGAAGGGAGGGTGTTCCATCAATTGGGTAGAGATCAGAGAAGCTTCTGATGTGGCACAAGGCCATGCTTGATGTGCCTCTGAATGCTTTTTATCTACTACTAGTCATTCTGCAATTTATCTGCCTATTTTTCAACAACCATGTTATCCTGACAGACACATTTATTGGATATTTAGTTGGAAATATCTTATGATTGATTGTAGTTGGCTGCTGTATCTAGGTAGTCTTTCCAGGACAGAGTGCATGGCCATTTTGGAAAATACACTCATGTTCCTGTTATCCTTTGGGACTTCTCGTTCTGCTCCTCGGGCTGCCCGTCACTGGCCCTAGGATGGACCCTCACGCCCGCACTGTGCTCTTTCTATAAGTACTGAGTGAAATGGAAAGACACTATGAGAATCTGAACTGTGTCAACAGTATTGATGAAGTGACCGTTTCTTATAAACTATCACTGTAGATATTTTAAAGGTGTGAAGTTTCCAAATTTGAGGAAATATGTATGTTAAGACTATTGTCAAGTACATTCTTTAAAATGAAATAAAAGCACATTTCTACAATACATATTTTTTAACTAAACAACAACAAAAGGACAATCAGCAGGACAGCTCCCCACAGCAGGGAATAAGCCAGCCCAAAGTTTCAATAGTACCAAGGTTGTGAAACCCTGCTCCAGCCCTGCTCTAGGTTGCCATGAGTTGGTTGAACCCTAGAGAGAGAATGGGCCTCGCCAGCTAGCTAACCAGAGCAGAGACTTGGAATCTAGCTCTGCTGACATTCAGACTAGTTTTTTTCTATTATAGTAAGTCTTAATTTTCACAGGCTACATAACTTTGCAGTATCATAATTCACAACCGTTGTGTGTTGACCACAATAGTTCTTATCTGCATGGCTATGTTCTAAGACCCCCAGGGGATGCCTGAAACCAGGAGAGTACCAAACCCTATACATACTATGTTTTTGCCCTACACATACATACCTATGATGAAGTTTAATTCATAAATTAGGCACAGTAGGAGGTTAACAACAATGACTAGTAATAAAATAGAACAATTACAACAATATGCTGTAATAAAAGTGATAGGCATTGATAACTTATGAATATTTTTCTTTCTGGAATTTTCCATTTAATATTTTCAGACTGTGTACAATAAAAAAAATATTTTCAGACTGTGGTTAGTTACCATGGGTAACTGAAACCACAGAAAGCGAAACCACACAAAAGGGGGGGCGGCGCGCTATACCTACAGAGAAGGTAAGGCTCGCACAAACACCTCTACTCTCTCTTGCACTTGTCATATTCTCGGATTGCTAAAATGCTTTCATTCTTTTTTCCCCTCATACCATCACTATTTTTCTATCTAAATTCTCATGCCCTGGTTTTTGAATCTCTTCGTTTTTACATTTCTGTAAAGATGTATCCAACAGCAATTGAATAAACAACTCTTGAACTATCCCCTAAACACACCAAGAAGGCACAATGTGAATATAAAAGACTTTTCCTTGTGCTAAGGACACATTTTAAAGCAGTTTTCTGGTAACCTAGAGATGAGAATGTGAGGCAACATCAGAAGATGTATGAAAGCAGTACTTACCTTACTAAAGTCTCTCTCCCAGGAGGCTCAGCAGCTCCATGCCAACCCCTCATGCGTTTATAAGCTCTTTGACAGTAAGTAACACCTCCTTTCTGATGGGGGTAGAGTTCAGTGAGGGAAAAGTCACTCCCACAGTGTTCAGGGCCTTGGCTCCCATGCTAGATTAGAAGGAAATGGCAAGTCATCTTCTTATGAAACAACTGGTTAATATGTTCCTTTTCAAGGTTGGCAATTAAAAGATTAAACAATTTCATGGGGCGCCTGGGTGGCTCAGTCGTTAAGCGTTTGCCTTCGGCTCAGGTCATGATCCCAGGGTCCTGGGATCGAGCCCCGCATGGGGCTCCCTGCTCGGCGGGAGGCCTGCTTCTCCCTCTCCCACTCCCCCTGCTTGTGTTCCTGCTCTCGCTATCTCTCTCTCTCTGTCAAATAAACAAATAAAATCTTAAAAAAAAAAGATTAAACAATTTCAGACTGATTGGACTCTCTCTGCCAGTCAGTGGAGATGGCTTTTGGAAGAAATTGACTGTGAGGTTTTCATGAACTGGATGCCAGGTCCAAGGCAGATGAGAAACCGGTACATGAGCCTAGCAGGGAGCTGATGTCCGTAAACAACAAGTAGCTCTCTGGAATATTGTTTATATTGGGTTTTAGATAAAATAAGGGCACCCAATTAAATGTGAGTTTCAGACACATAATAAATGATTTTTTGGTACTGGCACAAAAAATAGACATATAGATCAATGGAACAGAAGAGAGAGCCCAGAAACAAACTCACATTTATATGGTCAATTAATCTTCGACAAAGGAGGCAAGAATACACAATGGGAGAAACAGACTCTTCAACAAATGGTGTTGGGGAAGCTGGACAGCAACAAGCAAAAGAATGAAACTGGACCACTTTCTTACACCACACACAAAAATAAGCTCAAAATGGATTAAAGATCTAAATGTGAGACCTGAAACTATAAAAATCCTAGAAGAGAGCAGAGGCAGTAATCTCTCTGACATTGGCCATAGCAACATTTTTCTAGAGATGTCTCCTGAGGCAAGGGACATAAAAGCAAAAATAAACTATTGGGACTCCATCAAAATAAAAAGATTTGCACAGAACAGAAACAATCAACAAAATAAAAAGGCAACCTCCTGAATGTGAGCAGAGATTTATAGATGATATATCTGCTAAAGAGTTAATATCCAAAATATATATAGAAGTTCTACAACTCAACACCCACAAAATGAATAATCCAATTTAAAAATGGACAGAAGACACTAACAGATATTTCTCCAAAGAAGACATACAGATGGCCAACAGGCACATGAACAGATGCTCAACATCACTCAGCATGAGGGAATTGCAAATCAAAACCACAATGAGATATCACCTCACTCCTGTCAGAATCACTAAAATCAAAAACACAAGAAACAACAAGTGTTGGTGAAGATGTGGAGAAAAAGGAACCCTTGTGCGCTACTGGTAGGAACAGTATGGTGCCACCCCTGTGGAAAACAGTATGGAGAGTCCTCAAAAATTAAAATTACAATTACCATATGATCCAGTAATTCCACTACTGGGTATTTACCCAAAGAACATGAAAACACTAATGCAAAAAATATATACACCCCTATGTTTATTACAGTATTATTTACAATAGCCAAGGTATAGAAGCCACCTAAGTGTCCATCAATAGATGAATGGATAAAGAATGGGTTAAACACAGATAATGAGTGGATAAATACATACCACATATACACAATGGAATATTTCTCAGTTATAAAAAAGAATGAAATCTTGCCATTTGCAACAACACGGAGTGACCTAGAGGGTATAATGCTAAGTGAAATAAGCCAGTCAGAGAAAGACAAATACCATATGATGTCACTCATATGTGGACTATAAGACACAGAACAAAAAAAAAAAAAAGAGAGAGAGAGAGAGAAACAAACAAAATCAGACTCTTAAACACAGAGAACAAACAGATGGTCACTAGAAGGGAGGTGGGTGGGGGGTGGGTGAAATAGACGATGGGGATTGAGAGTATATGTGTAATGAGCACTGAGTAACATATGGAATTGTTCAATCACTATATTGTATACCTGAAACTAATGTAACATGTTAATATGTTACTGATACTAGAATTAAAAACAAATTTTTAGTAAAAAAAGATACAAGGGCGCCTGGGTGGCTCAGTTGGTTGAGCGACTGCCTTCGGCTCAGGTCATGATCCTGGAGTCCCCTGCCTTCGGCTCAGGTCATGATCCTGGAGTCCCGGGTCCCGCATCGGGCTCCCTGCTTGGCAGGGAGTCTGCTTCTCCCTCTGACCCTCTTCCCTCTCGTGCTCTCTATCTCTCATTCTCTCTCAAGTAAATAAATAAAATCTTTAAAAACAACAACAAAAAAAAACAGATTTAAAGAAAAAAAAGATACAAGCTTTTAAAAAATAAATGATTGTTTAGTATTAGTATGTCCTAAATGTTGTTTGAAACGTACTTACACTAAAAAATTATTTATCGTTTACCTGAAATTCATATTTAACTGGTGTCCTGTATTTTCTCTGCTAAATCTGGAAACCCAGTTCTTACGCTTTTTCCTCTCTGCCTCACTCCAGTCAGCCTTCCTAGCCTCTGGGCCTTTGCACTTACTATTTGTTCTGTTTGGAATACTCTACCTTGAGCTGCTGTATGTCCCCTATTATGTCCTTTCTCACAGTATTTTGACATTGTATGTTTAATATCACTTTCCCCCATGCTGTGAACTCTTGGGAAAAGGATCTTCATCTTGTTTTCAGTCAAGCTCCCATTGCCTGGCATAGCATCTGGCACAGAGAGCTCAATAAATAATATAGTGTTTGAAAATAAATGGAGGGGCGCCTGGGTGGCTCAGTCAGTCGAGCGTCTGCCTTCAGCTCAGGTCATGATCCCAGGGTTCTTGGATCGAGTCCCGCGTCCGGCTCCTTGCTCAACAGGGAGTCTGCTTCTCCCTCTGCCTCTCCCCACTCCCCTCATGCACTCGTTCTCTCTCTCTCTGTCTCTCTCTAAAATAAATAAATAAAATATTTTTTTAAAAAAAGAAAAGAATTAAGTGGAAAATGTTTAGCAAATGCCAAAGTAGAGAGAATAGTATGACAAATCCTGATGCACTCATCCCCCTGCTTCAGCAATTGCCAACAATCTTTTTTCATCAACACCCTGTAGCAGGTGGTACGCAGGCCTCCTAAATGTCCAAATCCCTGGAACCTGGAAATGTGATCTTATTTGGAAAAGAGGTCTTTGCAGAGGTCATGAAATTAAGGAACTTGAGATGAAATCATCCTGGATGACCCGGGTGGGCCTCAAATCCAATAACGCATGTCCTTATAACAGAAGAGAAAACACAGACACACAGATGTGAGGTTGTTTGAAGGTAGAGGCAGAGAGGAAGGGGATGTGGCATTGAGCCAAGAGAAGCAAGGATTGTAGAAAGCCACCAGAAGCTGCAAGAGGCAGGGAGGGATTCTCCCCTCGAGCCTCTGGAGGAAGTACAACCCAGCTGGCCTCTTGACTTTGGACTTCTGGCCTCTGAAAGTGTGGCTTGTGTTGTTCTAAGCCACCTGTTTGTAGTAACTGGTAGAGTAACCATGAGAAACTAGTATGTACTCCCACCTACTGCCCCCAGTACCGTGGGATTATTGTGAAGCAAATCCTAGACAGCATATCACTCCATCTATCAAAAACTTAGCATGGTAATCTCTAAAAGGTAAACACTTTGGCTAAACAGAACCATACTATTCTCCTATCATGCTCACTTTTTAATTCCTGAATTTTATTAAATTTTCAGCATTCGAATTTCCCCCAATATCTCATGAAGTTTTCTGTACAGTTGGTTTATTGGCATCAGAATCCAAGCAAGGTCCACAGATCACATTTGAGTGAGATGAATAAATATATTTTGAGACCTGGATGAATGAACACAGACGTTAGGCAGGGGAATTGTGAGAAATTCCCAAAGCCCAGACTGACACCCTTGGGCCATCAAGGTGTACTCGGGGCCCTGGGCAATGTTATCACCATTTCCAGACACACCATTCCCAAAATATTTTTATTATAGAAAGAAAAATGGCTCCTAAAGATGAAACAAGAACATATCTTTATGCCATTACCCAGAGGGGTAGCTATTTTCCTGTGGGTACATGAGAAGGTCAGATATGAATTTCTACACTTAACTCTTTGAGAGGCTAGGTAACAAATGTTATATGACAATTCCAGGGTCCCAGAAGGGCCTTGCCTGCACCCTGGGACTTCACAGGATGGCAGAGGAGGTACCAAGGCCCTCAGATTTATTAGAAGCTTTCAGGGCTCTGTGGGAGGCACAGAGGAGAGCCCAACTCTCCCTGGGAAGCCCTGAGGTGAGGATCAAAGTGTGGCCAGGTGGGAAAGAGCTTGCCAGGCAGGAAGGCCGGGGTCTGCCATACCCAGGTGTGTGTTGGGGCTGGAGATCTGGGGTGGAGGGCATCCCTACAGGCCCCAGGGGCACTGAGGGAGTTAAAGAAAGATGGTGATATTCAGACTTGCACTTGAGGAAAACCACTCTGGTGGTAAGTAGAAAACAGACTAACAGGAAGGGAAGATGCAGGCGGGAAGCCCTGTGTGTCTGTCTGCTCCCTGTCCCCCTCCCCCAACTTTGTGGAAGCTCATTCTGAGGGGAGGAAAACTCAATGTGGCAAAACCAGTCTTCCCAGGCAAGTGTTCATTACTGGCCCCCTACGTGGATAAACTATGAATCACTCCTAATCCCCACACTCTGGCCCAGCGACAGTCCAGAGGGGAAATAATTTTATATGTATTCATTCATGTATAATTCAAACATATAATCTGTATCTTCGAAGTCTAGTTCTGAGGGACACTGAGCGAACTTAGAGTGAAACTCATGCCTCAAGGGGCATTAAGCAGCAGAGCAACAATGTGCCAGGGTGGCCCTAGATGGTGACAGACAACAGGGTCACCTGAGAGCACACCTTGGATCTGTTCTGTTCATTATTTTCCCCACCTCCTAGAACACTAAAGAGTCCACACGAGATGTACTAGCTGTTAGAAATGCCTAAGAAGAAAAAATTTTAAAAAGATTTTATTGGTTGATTGATTGATCAATTGATTGGGGGGTGGAGAGGCAGAGGGGATCAGAGAGAGACAAGTAGACTCAGTGCTGAGTGAGGACACAGAGCTTGGTCGCAAGACCGTGAGACCATGACCTGAGGAGAGACTAGGAATTGGGTGCTCAACTGATCGAGCGACCGAGATGCCGCAAGACATTTTTATTGTAGGAAGGAAAGTGGGTCCGAAAGAGGAAGCAAGAAGATATCTTTTTTTCGTTTGCGGGTGCGGTATCTATTTTCCTGTGGGTGCATGAGACTGTTTTTTTTTTTTTTTTATGTTCCATTCTTTTTTCTGCTTGGTTCTTTTTGTTATGTTACATTTTATTGTAATGTCAATTTTTTCATATATTCTATGTTTTCTTCTTTTCATTTTTCTTTCTTTGTTTTTGAGTCGAAGGGCTGTCTTCTGATTTTATCTTTGTTTCTTATTTGATGGAATCAATATTAGTTTCTTTAGTTCTATTTGTTCATAGTTGTTTTTTTATTTAGTTCTTACCCTTTTTTTGCGTTTTTTCGTCGTCTGATGGTCGGTATTTTTTTTTTTTTGGTAGCGTTCTTTGTTGGTGAACCTCCTCAGCTTGTTTGTTCTTTTTGTGGTGGTCCTTTTTTGCTTCTTTTTTTCCTGCTGATCTTTTTGGCTTGTTCTAAACTTTTCTCATCGATGGGAGGCTTCCTCGGGCTGCCAGGCTGTAGAAACTTCTTCACGGTGGGGAGATTGCTGATTCTGGTTTTCAGGGCCTACAGTGCACAAGGGCACAGCCTCAGAATGGAGCCAAAGACCAACCCCATCATTAGCACAAGCCAGGGAATCAGAGACTGTCCTGCAAGGACCAACTGAGTCCCCTCCAACAGCACAGTGTGTGGCTGGGAAAAGACACCCAGGCAGACATGAGGGTTGGAGGAAGAAAAGACAGCTCAATGCCATTTGCCCCCAAGACATCTTTTTTTCAGACTCATTTTGGTTTCAGGTCTTCCCTATCTCCTTCCCTACGCATAAATCCTGTAGATTCATCCCTCTTGTGCGAACCAGGGAAGGAGGAATGTGTCTGTCAGATATCAACACACATAAAGTCTCCAGACAGATGAAAATATAGGAAACCTGCCCTGGAACGGAAGACAGAAAATATAGAAAGGTAAACCATGAGACTGGTCAAAACCAGCCAGCCCACTGAGAGAAGGACAGGGAGAGAGGGAGACTCTGCCCAGAGAAACGTTAGGAGCCGGAGTGGAGGGAAGGAAGCGGGAGGAAGGAGAGCTGCTCAGGCAGGCACACGAAGGACACACCTGGATAAGGGAAACCCCAGAGAAAACAAGCACAGAGACCATCATGGAATGGGGATGGGGATGGGGAGGCTGATGCTGAGCCCTGGGTCCTTCTCCTGGTGAAGACAATCTAGTCTTCCTGGGGAAGCATCCACCTCAAATGTCCTTGGCATGACAAGATTCTGTGCCTCAACCAGCCCCTAGGGGCTAACTCTGGAGGGAGTTGTGGGGCTGAGAAGGGACAATGATGGAACCAGAGTCCAAACGTCAGATCCTGAGGTGGGAGATGTGAGCCTTCCCTCCTGAAAGCTGTGAGAGAGATCACCTTCAGCAGAGGGAAGTTGGCCAGAAGGCTGGGGTCAAGCTCTTCCACATAGTAGAGAAGTTCCACCAGGTGAATGTCAGCCCTGCTCAGCGTGTTGCCAACAAGGTAGTCTTGTCCATGGCTCTTTAACACCTGGGGGATTTGAGGAATCACATCATGAGCTCAGGCACAGTCAGGCTGGGCCCCTCTGCTCCTCTCTGCTCTCCAGCCCGACCTCCCCACCTCTGCTGCCTCACTGAGGGGGTGTGGGCTTCAGACCCTCTGCATTGCCCCTGACTCACTGAGACACCGGGTCTCTGCTGTTCTTTCCCTCAGCTGAAGTCCTGGCTAATGTCTCCCTAAAACATGTGTTCACTGTATATCTCTTCTGACGTAGGCAAGTTTTCCTAATGAAGTGTTGGGGAAATTCATGAAATTTATTAAAGCATTCCAATAATATGCAAATGAGAACACGAAGAGAAAACCCCATGGCACCACCAACTTCAGGAAATTTTGGCAAATACCCTTTCCGCCCATGTACACATAAGGAAACACGGACAATTATCAGGCAAAGAATATAATGAAACTTCAAATGCTATATGGTAACATACAGTTTTCATTTATCTTATCATAGGGCTCTGTGATTTCAAAGTATGGCTGTGCTCAAATGGAAAGACTGTTCAGCACTTCATCATCTGACTGTGCCCCAAACTCTCAGCACCACAGGGTCAGGAGAGAATTTCCTGACTACTATGAATTCTTTCCTCCTTGAAAAGGGCCAACACGCAAGCAATGACTTAACATTTGTTCAGTGACTGACAGAATGATCTAATGCCTTATAAAGATGGGTGTGTCCGTGTTAACCCTTTCAATTCCATGTATGGCCCCCTGTTATCTCCTACAATCAGTTTTTGGCCCATAGTTTTTATTGGGCACAATTTCAGGTACTTTTGATCCTGAAATGTTCTCCTCTTACCTCCCAGGAGAAACATTAACTAACATACATACTATGTATAGTGATGGAACCTTATTTCCTTAGTTTGCATGACTTTCCTCTCAAGTCTGAGAACCATGTCTTCAAGTATGTCCACTGATTTTTCCTTAACATCCCTCCATCGGTCTGTTCCTCTCCGTCCCCCTGCCCCCATCTCTGTCCAGATACATCTCATCCATCCATCCCCAAAACACTACCATATTTTCCTGAAGGGCAACTGGCCTCACGTCACCCTACCCATGTTGCCAGTGTCTCTCCTGACCCATTGCTGTCATTGCATTCCTCTTGGATCAAAGCCCCTGCACGGTGCTCTGTAAGATCTATTCCAACCTCCAGTGTGGCTCTCAGAGTCCTCAACCGCCCAAGCTCTGACTATGACCGGGGAGGTCTGCTGAATAGAGAATTCTAGCTTGGGTCCTGGTTAGTTGAAAACTAACCTTTCCTGCTGGAAAACTGAAATTTGGGTATAACTGGTACAATTCTTCCTCACCATCCGTTTTTATAAAATGCCTTGAGTCAGGGTGCTACTGGAAGTGAAGGTCAATGCCCAAGGAATGCCAGTCAGGCACTATCTTTCCTTGCTTCTAAGTCCAGTGCCCCAAAGCGCTCACCAGTCCACTTACTTTCTCAAACGCGGGGAGATAACGATCTGTCGTTCTCTCTTTGATCAGGGCAATCTTGGCCTCTTTTTGATCAGGTGGGCATAGAGGCAAAACAATGATCATTTCATTCAAATCTGCCATACCTTCTGTGTACATATCTATCCTGAAAGACAAAGTGACCAAGTTGTCAAATGTCTTCTGCCTTGATTTTAGAGTTGAAAAAACAGACAAGAATGGGCATCAGAAGGTGGCAAAGTAGCTCAGCTCCCACCGGATGCTTTTTTATATGCCACCCATTCAGCTCAGATTTTTACTTGATTTGAACATTTCATTCTAGAACAAGCCATCAACATATGTCTAGCTATTATGTGTAAAATTTTCATTATACACACGACCAGAGAGAGGGACAGAGAGCATTGGTGACCTGTCCAGAGTCACAGAGAAATTGGCGCAATCCTGCATGTACCCACCTACAGGGACCGTACTTGGGGCCTTGCCATATCTGTTGTGATTTGTTCTCTGCACAAGGTAATGTGACTCATGTGGCCAAGCCCTGCCACCGAAGTGATCTCTAGAGAACGTCCCTGGCACAGCCATCTCCGGCATGTCCCTTCCTGTCTCATCCTGTTACACACCCAGGCCCACTGACGTGCCCAATATCAGCAGGCTTTCCAATTATTTCCCACAACCCTGTCCACATACAGTTGCCCAACTCTGACCTTGTTTGCATTTCTCAAGTCTTCACCTAAAACATCCCCTGAAATGGTGAAATTCTTAATATAGTTTCAACCAGTGCATATTATAGGGGATCTCTTTTTCTTTTGTTTCAAACTGGCTTTTCTATTATACATAAGTATAACAGAAATTACAGAAATTTCAATACCACCTTATTGAAATATATTCACATACCATAACTGTCACCCTTCAAAATATATTTTCAGTAGTTTTTAGGATATTAGGAAACCATCACCTCTTCTAATTCCAGATCATTTTTATCACCCTGAAAACAATTCTGTGCCTTTGACAGCCACTCCCCATCTCCTCGCCCCTCCAGCCCCAGGCAACCACTCAGCTACCTTCTGTTTCTATGGATTTGAATGTCTGGACATTTCATATAATTGGAATCATACAATATGTGACCTTTTGTAACTGGTTTCTTTGATTTAAAACATTTTCAAAGCTCATCCATGTGGTAGCATGCATCAGTACTTTATCTCTCTTCATATCCCATTGTATGGATAGACCACCTTTTGCTCATCCATCCATCATTGATGGTCATTTTATTTGCTTCACTTTTGTGACTATTTTTTTAATTAATTTTTTAAAGATTTTATTTACTTTTCAGAGAGAGAAAGAGAGCACAAGCAGGGGGAATGTCAAGGAGAGGGAGAAGCAGACTCCCCTGAGCAGGGAGCCCAATGTGGAACTTGATCCCAGGACCCTGGGATCACGACCTGAGCCAAAGGCAGACGCTTAACTGACTGAGCCACCCAGGTGTCCCTTGCCTTTGTGACTATTAAGAACAAAGCTGCTATAAATTTTTGTGAACAAGTTCTTATGTGGATTTTTTCATTCTCCTGGGTGTATACATAGCAGTGGATTTACTGACATACAATAACTATGTGTAATTTTTGTGTAAATTCTACAGTTCCCTATAAGATTAAATTTCAATCATGTGGTCCCATCACAACAGACAAGAGATCCCCCAGATATTGCCATATTGACTAAATCTGGCTACTTTAGTCCTGTATCAAAATGTTCAAGGTAACCCTAGCATCTTAAGGACCAGCCTCTGCTAACCCTTGTCAAATGGCCAGTTCATGTAACTGGCTGATACGCTAGGTTCCTGGTCATTATTCTTGTAATTTCTGGAACTTGAGAATCCAAAGGATCTTCCTTTGGCTTTCCCAAGCCTTCTTCTCTAGACACTCAGATACTTTGTCCTTGGTTCTAGCTGTTGGGTGTATCCAGCTCCTAAAGGCCCGAGTACCTGGAGTTATGTTTCCACTATCCTCCTGGCTTCATAGTTCGTCAGTTTTGGGAAACTCTGTCAGTGTACTATATCCATAGACTGCACCCCCTTATATAACCATGCTCACTTGAATCCACTCCAAGTTTACTATTTCTCTCCCTCATAGGTGTCTGCTATGCTAGAACCTCTGTTATAACACCAAGACCTACACAGCTGTTGGCCATGAGACCTGTGAGCACAGTCCTGCTTACTCAGGGAAAGAACTAGATTGTTCCTGCTAATTGTTGATGAAAGCACAGAAAAAGTACCACACAGGGCTCTCTCCTTTAGGTCTTTCCCGTAGAGGTCGTATTTGGGGGCCATGTAGTTGAGAATGGTTCTGGTCTGGTCTGCACCAGCGTCATTCCTTCGATGTCCACCGTTGGTACTTGCTGGAACATCAGACTTCTGTCTCTTGAAAAAAGAAAAGAAGAAGCAGAGTGAAATGTTTTCTGGGTTACACTCTTCTCAGATGGAAAACGTGTTTGTTGAGATAAAAAATGAAATTAGAATTACCTGGTAACACTCTAGCAGAATGGCACTTTGTATTTAGGTTCCCAGAGTCCTTGTTTTTCCTAGCAATCACTCTTTTACTTTCTAGCCACCATGCCATGTATCCATCCATGTATGTATCCATGGGTACCTGCTCAAATACCCATCCAGGTACATGAGAAGTCCCTTATAATTTGTGTCACTTTATTTCTAAAATCATGGAGATCTTAGGAAGATGTTGGAAGAGACTACAAAAAGGCTGCCAACCAGGTGCCATTCCAAATGGGAAGTTCCAAAGGAAGTCTGTAACAGCACTCTGGCCAGTCTGAAGGGTTAACCTATGTCAGGCTAACATGCTCCTAACTTGCTGACGTAAGTCCCTGGATTCTTAGCAGACAGACCACTGGCCTTGAGGAGGGAAAGACCAGAACTTTCCTGGGATGCAGAGGCCAGTAAGTCTGTTTGAAGCGGCCTCTGCTTTCTGATTAGCCTAGCAATTTTTTTAACCAAATGTTCTTTTTTTAGGTCACACAAATGATTTTAGTAACCTTACTTTGTGTATCTGTAGACTGCTCTCCTTTGCAGAAAGAACAGTTACTGTTGCACGTCCCGAAACAGGAACCCCACCCCCTCGCACAACGCTGAGCACTGAGATAACATTTGTATCATGGAGGTTGCATGTAACCAAGGAATGTTGCAGGCCACTACACTCCCTTTACTGATTAACTGCCCTAAACTCCTTTAAAAACCCCTTTAGAAGCCTTGGAGTTGGCTTTTGGACAAGAATCCAACTACTCCCCAGGTGGCCAGCCTTCTGATTAAAGCTCATATTCCCCTCCAATCAAATCCTATCTCCTGAGTATTGGCCTTTCAAATGACAGGCAGCTGAACCTGGGACTCCTTAACAAGTCTCACGGTATTCATGGCATTTAAGGCAGGTTTTGAGAGACATTCCTATGTAGGGGTCCCTTTCCCTGCTCTCCAAAGTTTCTACTTATTGCTATGTATATTTCAGAAGCATAAGAACTATTTAACCACAATAATACACCTAAAATTACACTTAAAATTAACAATAATTCTTTAATACCATCTAATATTCAAGCAAATATCAAGTTTCCAAATTTTGTAGGTGTCATATGTACTTATAGTTTGTTGACATACAAATCTAAACGAGGTCCACACATTTGATCCGTTGTTGTGTCTTTTGTTTCCCTTAAAATTTGTTTATATGCTCTCTCATGGACAAGATGACTTGAATTTTCATTCAGTCAAATCGGTCCATTTCTTTTTTTTTTTTAATTTTACTTATATGTTTGTCAGAGAGAGAAAGAGCACAAGTAGGGAGAGAAGCAGGCAGAGGGAGAAGCAGGCTCCCCGCTGAGCAGGGAGCCCGATGCGGGGCTCGATCCCAGGACCTGGGACCATGACCTGAGCTGAAGGCAGACGCTTAACGACTGAGCCACCCAGGCATCCCTGGTCCATTTCTTTCTTAATATGTGGCTATTTTTACTTATGGTAAAACTATTCACTTGTGATCTAGTATAGAAGTCTCTTAGTTTATGAGAGAAAACTACTTTGATCCAATCATACTTTTATATCCACCTTAAGATGACCTCACTTAGAACATACCTCTACTCCAGCTGCAGCCAGGAGCCACCCGATGGACTCCATTCTGCCTCCTCCATTGAAGTAGGGAAGCTCGGGCTCCCCGGCCATGATGCCGTCTCCGGGTTTCCCTAAACCTGGATAGATGGATGGATGGATAACCATTGAACGAATGAAACCACGGAAGCAAACTGTACTTTATGATGTGCATTCAAACAGAAGAGCGAAGTGTCTGCATTCTTCACAGTACTGTTGGCTTCATGGCCCAAATTCTGACCCATCAGCGGCCCTCATCATGAAATTGCACCAAACCAGGCTCAGGTTGCCGTTTCTTCTCACAAGGAGGCCATAACTAGGGCCGCCTTGATCCCGCACAGGTTCTGGCCCTGGGAGCTGGTGAGGGGCACTGAGACCAAAGGACCTCACTCACAGGGAGGAGGAAGAGGGAGCAGTCAGCCTCCCCTCATTGGCTATCATGCTCTGCTTGCTCAAAAGCATTAACTGGGCCTTTGTCTTCCCCTGACTGTTACCAAAACCTTCTACATTCTCTCCACAGAAAAGGATACTCAATCCTTTTTTTTTTTTTTTCAGTTGAAATTCTATGGTTTTCCACTGCTGGGCAAATTTGATTTTACAATCTAGAAAAAGAGGATGTTAGTGCATTACCTTCAGAGTATATATAAAGGAACTAATAGTGATCACAGAAAAGGCATTTTTCTCATTTAATCCTCATTTCATCTCCATAAAAATTACTTGAGGGGGATTCTGTAATTTTTTTTAAAGGTTTTTTATTAACTTATTTGAGAGAGAGAGAAAACAAGCAGGGGAGAGGTAGAAAGAGAGAGGGAGAAAGACAAGCAGACTCCCCACTAAACAGAGGGCCAGACGTGGAGCTCAATCCCAGGACCCTGGGGTCATGACCTGAGCCAAAATCAGACACATAACCGACTGAGCCACCCAGGAGCCCCTACATTCGGTTATTATTCTCCGTTTACATTTGGGGATTTTGATATCTGTAGAGGTTAAGTGACTAGCCTAAATTAAGTGGTGAATCT